GATCGGACGATTATCGTAAAACGTAAATTTTAACTTATTGAATCGAAACATCCGGGGTTTCGATTCACAATCCACGAAATCCTACACGATCCTAGAAATGCCTAGATCAACATATATCAATTTGGAAGCGATCCAACGGTTCTAACGTATCGAACCCGGAAATCGCACAATATGAAAAATCCGTTCGGGGTTCAAACGTTATCCGAATTGAGATCCGCAAATTCCTACGCGCTCGTGACCACCAGGGGATCGCATTGGGACATAAAGCCCCTCTGTCACAGTGCCCATGGGCCACCACAAGCGCTAGTAGCACGTGGGTACCCAAAGGGATAACGCTTCATCGGAAAAACCCAGAATCACGGCTCCACGGACGATTATCGTAAAACGTAAATTTTAACTTATTGAATCGAAACATCCGGGGTTTCGATTCACAATCCACGAAATCCTACACGATCCTAGAAATGCCTAGATCAACATATATCAATTTGGAAGCGATCCAACGGTTCTAACGTATCGAACCCGGAAATCGCACAATATGAAAAATCCGTTCGGGGTTCAAACGTTATCCGAATTGAGATCCGCAAATTCCTACGCGCTCGTGACCACCAGGGGATCGCATTGGGACATAAAGCCCCTCTGTCACAGTGCCCATGGGCCACCACAAGCGCTAGTAGCACGTGGGTACCCAAAGGGATAACGCTTCATCGGAAAAACCCAGAATCACGGCTCCAAACTCCTACCCTAGGTGTAAAACCTAATTTGGAACCACTTTTGTTCTTGGACAACCCCCAAAAAGTGGCCGGGAGTGGCCGGAAATTCAACCCGAAATCCGGCCAAACTTTGGATCCAAAATCGGACCACCAACGCTAGAAATTTGTGAAATCCTACCTAACCATTAGCTAGATCACGAAAAATAGGTGAGAAACCATACCTTGATCACCCAAAATGGCGGCCGGACGGCGAAGAACGATACCGGAGAAAATCTCGCGATTTTCGGCCAGTTTCTACGAATTTTCCGGCGGTTTTGCGACAGCTTCTGGCGGGGGATGGGCTGGGGAACGTCGGAGAGGTTGGGCCGGTCCTTTTGACAACGGTCCCGGCTCAGGTGGTGGCCGGATGTGGCGGCGCTGGCTCAAAATTCGTTCGGATGAACAATGCAGGGATGAGGGTATCGCGCGCACAAAGGAGAGAGAGAGCGAAAAATGGGAGGGTTTTCTGGTTTTTAATTAAAAACCAATTTCAACTTATTTACCATTATGCCACTGAGTACAACAAGGAATCTCTACTCTCAGTAAAGGAGAGAGAATATTCCAAGATATGATTGGTCAAATGTTTGCATAGAGTAGTGGATAAGACTTGAAAGAAGAAGTCTTCAAGTCTTACTGTGATAATCATATAAAAGGAATGATTCACATTAGGATATTGACAATCGGATTCCATGATCTAATAATGTGAATAAGGAGTATTGATATAAGAGAAGGATTCAATTGCACGGTCATTCCAATTTGCATAGGTTCTTTCACAGCGTCTCATTTAGCTCGGATAACCATGACTTGCTGCTAGGCCATAACCATGATTTGTGGATGTCCTAAAAGGTTTCAATTAACCTTTATTAATAGTAAGAATTTAATTGTGGAATTTAATTCGTATATCATCTCTAAGGAGTTGAGTCAACCCACTATCTTGCTAAAGGGAACCTACGGATATGCACACCCAAAGAATGTGATTAGAGGTACAAATGAGGAGGAATGAAATTGAGGAGACACAAGTTAATAGTTGATAATCAAATGTCAAAGTCAACAATCAAAAGTCAACATGTTGACCGGAGCAATTGACCAAAGTCAAATAGTTCGACCGGGTCAATTGCGTAAGACATTATAATTTAATATTTAAATTATAATTAAAAGATTAATTATGGAATTAATATCGACATATATAAATATTGGATTGGGCTTTTAAATATGATTTAAAAAGGAAATGGACAAAATAGCCCAAAAGGCTATTGGGCCCAAGGGATAAGGTGGCATAAGATGACATGACCCATGGACCAAATGGAGCCCCAATACCCATGACCCATGTGTTGTCCTATTTAAGCTAAGTGTTGGAGAAAACCTAGCTAGGGTTTTTGGTTTCCTACTTTGGTTGATGAGTGATCATCTTTATATCTCATCTTCTATAAACCAAAAATTGGTCCAATCAAGAAGTAGACTAGCATCCATACTTCTTGATTGTCTTCTCTTCATATCTAGGAGCATTTGGTGTGGTGAGGTAGAGGACTCCAATCTTGGAGCCTTAAGGTGAAGGAGTCAAAATCAAGAGAAACAAAAGGTCTTTCCAACAAAGATGTTCATTCTTGAGAAATCAATAAAAGATCATCACGGGTAAAGATCTATTCCTTTTTCCATTTTTTTATTTGTGTTCAAAGAGACTAGGCTAAGATACTTGGTTTAAAATGAAAGAGGTTTAGCTCAACTAGAATAAACAAAATGAATCTGCCATTTAGAATGTTTTTGTTGTATAGGTTGTGGCTAAAGTTCATTTCGTAAGTATCAGATGCATGTTTCCTTCATAATCTGCATCAGTGCAACCTTCTAGATCCAAGTGGCCATTTTTCTTAAATAATAAACCTCTCCCATGAGCAGACTTTAAGTAACTCAGAATACGCATCACAACAGTCATATGATCCTCACTAGGTGAATGCATAAATTGGCTCGCAACGCTTACAACATAGGCAATATCAGGGCGTGTCAGTGATAAATAGATCAATCTTCCATCCAACTTTTGGTATCTCTCTTTGTTAGTTGGGACCTGATCCACATAAACTCCAAGTTTATGATTCTCAACTATAGGTCCAAGTTTATGATTCTCAACAATAGGTGTATCAGCTAGTTTATAGTCAAGCATTCCAGTATTTGCTAGCAAGTCCATGACATACTTCCTTTATGAAATAAATAAGCCATGTTTAGATCGAGTGACTTCCACTCCTAGAAAATATTTCAGACTGCCCAAATCTTTCATCTCATATTTCTTTTTTATGTTGTTAGATTCCCTTTTTATTATTCCATGTCTATTTTCTTGTACATACTTGTTGGCAATTAATTTTTAGAAGCTACAAATGTTGGGGGTTAACTAGAGAAATTAATTTGCTTGGTTATTTACTCAAATGGTCCTCAAATTTATACCCGGGTTGTATTTTGGTCTCTCAACTAAATTATTCATTCAAATGGTCCATCAACTCTTTATTAATCGATGCATTAGTCCTACAGTTACATTTTCTGTTAAATTTAGTCATGTGAGCAGCATATGCTACATTAGTGGGGTAAATAAGACTTTTGAACACTAAAAAAATAAAAATATATGATTAAAAATTAATACAAAATTTTATTTATTTTTAAAAATAATTAAAAACTATAAACGAATACAAAATAACAAAAAGTAACCCTAAAAAAATTCAGCCCACTCCAATCCCAACCCCCATCTCATCGTAGGTCTACAACAACCTCCCTCTCTCTCTCTCTCTCTCTCTCTTCCCGAACAAACCCAGAGCCTTGCAACCCCAATATTAAACATTTGAAGAGATAAATAGAGGAAGATAGAGGGAAGAGGAGGAGGGGACAAGGAGGGAGGGGAAGAGATGGTGGGCTATGGGGAGGAGAAGATGGGGTGATAGGGCACTGGGGCAATGGTTATCGGGCTGGGGGTTGGGAGGTGGGAGAGGGAGATAGGTTTTTTTTTAATTTTGGTTTTTAGTTTTTAATTTATTTACTATTTTATTTTATTGGACTATTTTACCCCTACATTTGACGGCAATATTGACATAATGTAATAGTAGGACCAATGCACCGATTAATAAAGTGTTGGTAGATCATTTGAACGAATAATTTAGTTGAGGGATCAAAATGCAATTTGGGTATAAGTTTGAGGACCATTTGAGTAAATAACGTATTCTAAGATCAATCTAACCAATTCTTAATTTCTTCATACTTGAACTTAGGAGTAGCTGGTTGAGCTCAGATATGCATGAAAATGAAAGCACCCTGAAGGGTCACTATTTGCAATTGGACCTACAGTTCCATTTCACTAGAATTTTGCCTTTTGTTGTATCCTTACCCTGAACTCCAGACTCTCTACGTCTCATTCCCAATGAGAACTACCCCGACTTGACCCAATTTGGCTTCGTGTATTTTAAAATTTCAAGCTAACTGTATATTTTAATGGAAGCCCTTCTTTCACCTGTTAATTCTTAGTGAATAACTAACGTCCAGAAGTCGAGTCATTTATAGTAGGGGATAGATCATAGCTTTGGTGTTGGCCCTCTAAGCAAAAAGTATTCTGAAGTGTACAACGGACAGCAGCACAAATACACAAAATTGTAACACCTCATTATCCATCAAATCTTTCCAATTAACTAATTTTTAGTTTTTCCTTCAGAACATGAAAAGGAAAAAATAAATATAAATATAAATAAAAAAGGGCACTTCTCTGTTGGTTCATTTTCTTCTTCTTTTTATGCATGATGCCGTAAATTCAATGTCTTGCCTCTGAGATTTGATAAAACAAAACAAAAAACAAAATAAAGAAATAAAGAAAAGTAAGCCAAAAATAATAAAAGGAAAAAGAAATCAGCACCAATGACATTTCACAAATGTTCAATCAAATTGTGCACATTTTGCATTAGTAGATTTCACTAAAAAAGAGGCGGGAATGGGTAAGGGGCTATTAAATGGAAAGTCAAAAGGTGTTGGCAGCTGCCACGATTTCATTTGATTGGGATAATGACGCGGAATCGCGTATCAGAGAAGTTTTTCTCCCTCTTGTGGAGAGAGGAGACAAAAGTGTCAAAACCATGTGGGTTCTTGCCCTTAATTAATTTTGTAAATAAAGCCTGCAGATAGCTAGCCTTCATATTGTTAATTGAAAAAAATAAAGTTTTTAAATATTATAACATGTACACTGTTATAACTTTATATATTTCTTTATTAATAACCTATCCTAAATTCCTAAGATTTCAATAATGTCAAATTATATTATAACACGTAAATTAATAGCAATGTCATAAATAGTTTCTCCCCATTTTGCCAAAATGAGTTCCCACCATAATGACAAACCTACTCAATGGCTTAGTTACTTTTGATAACAGTGTTATGAAGAGGTTAATGGTTCTTGGGTGAGGTGTTGGAAAATATATATCAGAAAGCAAATAGCTACTACTTTTCATTGTCCAAGAAAGAAAAAAAAAATTTATATATATATCAATGCTTAGCATAAATACATCATAAATCCCAACAAAAAATCGCATCAAATAATATATTGATGGATTATGTCGAGTCTGTCGACCTCATCCTCATGTTGAGTTTGTCGACCTCATCCTCATGTTGAGTCTGTCGACCCCATCCTCATATTGAGTGTGTTACACAAGCATTTGATTTTTTGCTATATAATATAAATATTTAGTAGTAATAATCTCACCTCAAGACTCCTAAGTAAAATGAAGGTATTTATAAAGAAGTACAACCCTAAATAAAATAGGAAATAAATTTAAATTACAATAAAAAATAAATATAAATTACAATAGGAAATAAATCTCAATTATAATAGGACTAGAAAAATGGGTAAGTAATCAAAATCCTAACATAGTCGATCCGGTTTGAGCCGGTTTCGATTTTTTCAGTTTTGGATTGGATTTTTATTATTATTTTTTATACAAAATTCTGACTAAAATTTTATTTTTTGGGTTTGAAAATTAACAAATGATCCTATTTCATACAAAGAATGATGTTTTGAAGTTGGGCTTGGGGAAATATTAACTATGAGATAAAAAATGTAGCATTAGATTTAAATAATTTTGTTATAAAAAAAATATTACACAACCAGTCTGATTCGGTTTGGTCCGATTTGGTAAGGTGTGAAACCAAAACCAAAACTAGTTGGAATCAGCTCGGTCTGGTTCGGTGCTGGTTTGTTGACTTTTTAGTCAGCCGATTTTTTCCCCTTTTTTCCATCTAGTTCGGCTCTATATTTTGGTTTTTCGATCCCGATGCCGACCCCTAGAAGCAACAATAGTTAAAATGGACAGGTGGCGTGAGCTGTATGTGGTGGCACTTAGCCGTGTGGGAGAGGGAGAGATGAGATGGGCAACGACAAGGAGAAAGAGAGGGGTTTTTCCGTAGGATTTTGAAATTACCTTGTGTGTTGAATGTGACTATGTATTTATAGGGCTCTAGCCATCTAGATATTCTTTTGAGATTGAGTCAATTAAGGATTTTGATTAGAATCATATCCCTAATTGATGATAATATCCCCAAAATAAGACAATATCCTAAATTGATGATATTATCTTTAATTGGTGATTATATTCCCAAATAAAGATAATATCCCTATTTTTGGTCTTAAGTAATTGACCAAATAAATGGGCTTAATTACTGATCTAGGAGATATTCTTCTTGTCCACGTGGAGCCTTGTGATTGGAAGCTAGAATATTTGCTCCCACAAATGCCTCCCAGCTGCTGCATGACGCCTGTGAGGCATGGAAAAGATGAGGAATATTTTTCAGGCTTCCCAACTGTATCTGGGCTTCCTTTTTTGAGTTGGGGTCCTTTTGCAAGTTGGGCTCCTAATTGGAGTAGGCTTTTGACTTATTCTTGGAGTTGGGCTCCCAATGGGAATAGGCTTGTGATTCCTCCTTCACCTAGGATGCCCAACCTTTATAAATACAAGGCTTCTCTTCACTTCTCTAAAAATTGCAAACTTGCTTTCTCTACTTTTTAGCTTATGAGAGAGATCTTGGAGAATTGTACTACTTTTCAAGGAGAGTAGTCGCCATGCACACCAAGGTAGGTCGAATATATATATATATATATTTCTTCCTTTTTTTCTTCGCAGCGAGGACTGGTTGGCATTGGCTGGCCAGTTGTTGCCATGACTGGTGCCGACTGAAGCGGCGGTGGCTATTGGTGGCAGTCGGCGTGAGTAGTTGGTTGTGTCGCAACCTAGTTAAAAAGGTTGCAGCATAGAACTGGGTCATGCCTTAAGGGTCCTGCGAGGTGCACTGGCGCTGATCTAGGCCAACGCTGGCTGTTTGGGCCGCACACTTTTTTTTTTTTTGGTTGCAGGCCTGGGCTGGAGCGATTTAGGCTGGAGTTGTCGATAGGCCAGAGTTGGCATGGGTTTGCCTAGGCTGGCTCGTGTCTTGGGCATGTTGCTCGCTGCTTCCTGCGGCTTGGGCCATGTTGGTTTGGTGGCTTGGGGAGCTCTGTTTTGTTTTGTTTTGTTTTTTTTTGCATTGCAAACTTTTGACATGTAATTTGACTCACAAATTTTTTCCTTTGTTTCACAATTGTTCAATCATCATGTCTTCTTTGAAAGAAGTCATGTCTACTAAGAATACTCAAGTAGGAACTGCTCCTTCGTCATCTACCAGGGTCAAGCACCTTGTCGGCTCGGATAGCAAGAAGATTGGTGGCATGCGAAATGTTCGGGACATTCTGCTCAAGTCTCAAACCGAAAAGCTCAGAAACTGCAATCTACCTTGTCAAGAAGTCTACTGCTGAACCAGTTCGCCTATCGAGAAGCAAAGAGAAACTGACATTCCTCCCTGAAGTTCAAGTTGTCTACACCGATCAAGAGATGTGGATCGAACTGGGAGGACTGCTCTTTCGCCTAACCATCGTGATCTAGATGTTGAGCCACGAGCAATCAAACATGGAGCAAATTCGGCGTGGTTGACTCTTTTGGAGGCCAGGATGGCAGCAGCTAAGAAGGCCAGAGAGTTATCTACTCAGGTGAAGGGTTCTTGGAAACGCGAATGGCTAATCCCAAGGTTTACAAGTTCAACTCTGCGGGGATGCATGTGTGTCTAACGTGCTGAAGATGAAATTTCTGTCGAGCCCATTTGCTTGTGTCAAGCTGGTTGATCATGTACATAAGG